CGCGGCCCCCACCCCCAGCCGGTGCCAGCGCTGCAGCGTCCCCAGGACAGGACGGGGACCAGGCTTGCTGTGCCGGCACCGGCATCGCCCAGCTGCTCCCGGGGAAGGGAGGGGGAGGGCAGGGAGAGCAAAACCCCCGTTTTTGGGGGTTTGGGCCCGCATCGGCGGCCGGACCCTCACCCTGGCTCCTGCCCCCTGCCCTTGGGGGGGGAGCCCTGTCTCCTGCCGCTTGCCCTTGGCGGCAGGACCCCGGGGATGCGGAGGGGAGGCAGAGATCCCGGCCAGGCTCCGCAGCCGGGCTCTGCTCCCGCTGCCTCCCAGACGCCTGCAGAACGCCGCAGCCTCGCTGCAGCTGGAGCTCCAGCGTCCCTCAGCATCACCCCCCAGTGCCCGCCGTCCCCGCGGCCGGGGCAGCCGCCCAGGTCCCGTGGGAAGGGGACAGATATGAGCAGTGACATATTGGGAACAGCGTGACGTAACCCTCCCCCTCGGTCCCGGCGGCACCCAGGGCGATGCCGGCCAACAGGAGACCGGCAGGAGCGGACGACATGGGGAGGGGGCGAGCTCCCCTATAGGCACCTGGAGGGTTTAAGTGATGAAAAGCCCCACATCAGCCCCTGGGCCCCGCGGCATCGTGTTTTCACACACACCCCCCCCGAGCACGGGGAGCAGCAGCAGCAGCAGCTTTCTCTGCTGTAAATAAAGTGGATGCCGGGAGCGATGCGAGGTGCCGAGCGCTCAGCTTGCACCTGCGTTCCCCAGAGGGTGGCCCAGGGAGACCCCGGGACGCGAGGGGACCCCGATCCAGGCAGGGGGATGCTTAAACACGTCCTGTGCATGGAGGAAAACAAAAAAGCAAACCCCAAACCCCGTGCTTTCAGCTCAGGTCTGGCCATCACCCCCAAAACTGCTCCAGCCCGGAGCGGGGAGCAGGCAGGGATGGAGCACGGGTGCAGATGGAGCAGCGGGATGCCCGGCGCAGCTGGGCTCTCCCACGTTCTCATGTCAACCCCGAGCCCACGTCTCCTCCTGTGCCCACCCCGGGGAAGAAGCCGGAGCCGGAGCCCCGCTGCCACGAGACCCAGCTTTCTGCAGAGAGGCGGAAGGCACCGGAGATGCCGGGCCCGGAGCAGCAGGGTGGGCCGGAGGCAGCAGCAGGTGCCGTGCAGACCCCACTGGGCAGTGCAAGGAAGGACGAGCCGTTTGCTTCCCCTGGCCCTGCCAGCTCCCCACCGCCGCCGTCTGCTCCCGTCCCCCGGCCAAACTCGGCAGGGGCAGCTCCTGCGGCTCCTCCGTTTTGCCGGAGTCACAACAAGCCCTTCGGGTCTCCTACATCCCTCCCCGGACCCAGCAGCGAGGGCAGCAACCAGGAGCTGCAGGCAGCAGCAGGAGCGGCTATTTATTTTGCAGGCGAAGGACCCCAGGAGCCGGCGCAGGGGACGGGAGAAGAGCCCCCGTCTCGTGAGCTCGTTATCCCTGCACGGCATACAGCTAACGAGATCAGCAACAAGACATCAGCCTCTATAAATACAGCCTGAGCCCAGCGCCCACAGCGAGAGCTCCTAAAGCAAATCCCATCAATCCCATCCCTCCGGGCGCCACGGCATCCCCTCCAAGCCGCGGGGACGGAGGGGGGGGGTCTGGGAGGAGCAGGACAGCCACCAACCTGCAGAGGCGAACCGAGGAGAGGGAACCAGCTTCGGCAGCAAAATTCAGAATTTTCCACGGCTGCCACCGTCCAAAGTGCAGCCAGTGACGAGGCACAGCCCGGGCAGGGAGAGGGCTCAGCCCCCGCTGCTATCGGGGTGGGAACTGCGAGCCCTGGGCACAGCACCCGCCTTGGGAAGACCTTTGGATGGGTGGCGAGGGGCAGCACGCCATCACGGCATCCTCCCATGGCATTGCCAGCGGGACAGGGGCTCGCCGAGCAAAGCGCTGGCTGTGCCAGAATCACTACCGCCGGCAAAGGACGCGGCTCTGCCCCACCGCCCGCCCCCGCCCTGGCACAAGTGGGAACCAGGTGGCGGATAACCGCAGGGGTCGGATGCGGTTAGGGATGTCGCTGGGCTCAAACCCAGCCGGCACAGGACCGGACCGTGGAGAGGAGGATTTGCTCTTTCCAAGGGAGCACTGGCTTGAGATGCACGGCTTCGCTCCCAGCTTTGGGGGGCTCCGGCGGCACCGGCCGGGCATTTTGGGAGCCGGGAGGAAGCAGGTGAGCCAGGTCTGGCCGGTAATCTCCCAGGAATGCCTCCCTCCTCCTGGAAGGGCTCCAGCTCACAGATAAAGGGCTGGAGCCGGATCGCATTCCTGTGTGGGAGAGCAACACCCAGCCCCGGGCTGGAAACAGCCCCAGGAGGGGATTTCACTGGAAACCGCAGGGAAGGAGCCTGGAAGCAGGAGGGATGGCGAATTGGGGCTAAAAATAGGCTGGTTATCGTCCCCAGGGCGTGCGTTGTGCGCCAACACACCTTAACCCTGCCCCGGGTCGGGCTGGCAGCGCCGGCGGCACCGAGCGGTGGGGGTCCTGCGCCCGGTCAAGGCAAGAGCGGAGCTGGCAGGAGCAGGCAGGCAGCGAACCGGCAGGAGAGGTCTCTTGCTGGCAGTCACGCACCTCCAGCATCACGCTGCCGGCCGGCAGCACAGGGGATGGCGGGCGGCCAGCTCCGCTTGCCCAGATCGGCGGCACAATAAGTCCTTTGTGCCGACGACGTTAACCCAGAAAGTTGTTTTGCAATTTGCAGGCGGTGCTGGAAAAGGCTCCTACGCCGAGTGGGGCTCTGTGCCGCCGCGGCTCGCCCTGGCTCCCCGCTCCCGTCCAGCACCAAAAACACCTGGATGGGAAAGGTGATGCCTGCCAGGCCGGGCTGATCCTCCTCCATCAAGGTCAGCCAGGTAATTTGACCGCTGTTGGCTGCACGCCGGGACTCCGGTGAGGAGCCGGCACCGTTCTGCGGTGAAGCTGGAGCCCATCTCCGAGCCACCTCGGTCCGAACCGAGCAGGTCGGGTCATGCAGCTGCTGCACCCCCCGAGCACGGCGAGCAAAAGCTGTCGGATTATCCCAAAGCACTTCGTGTCCAGACCGACATCGCGGGGAAGGGGCTAGCAGCGATGCACAAACTCGGCATTTCTCCCCCATTACCTGTTTTTTGGCTCCCGGCACGGTTTAGGCTATTTCCACCGAGGGTTTCCCCAAAGCTTTGCTCACCTGCAAGGCTGCTTGCTCAACCGTGTTTGTACACAGCCCTGGTTTTGCTCGGGGACAAAGTCCGGGGTTGATTTCAGGCGCAGGCAGCACACGCCGTGCCTGCGCCCTGCCCGTCACCGGGGCAGCCCACGCCGACACCGGCAGAGACTGGCTATTCCTGCTCTCCCGCAAACTCCGGAGCCCAAAACCCCGATAAATCCACGGCCAAGTGCGTGAACCGTGCGCTGCCGGCCGGGTCGGAGGAACCCAAACCCAGAGCACCTGCGGCTGCGTCACACAACAGGGACGGGCTCATCACGACGCTGGCCAGCATCGTGCCGGGGGCTGGAAGAGGGATGTCCACGGGCGATAAGGGTCGCCCCCCCCCAGACGATGTCCCCTGGGCTCCCACGGGAGCTGATAAGAACCGAATTCCTTCCCGTCCCAACCCAGCCGCAGGCAGAGCCCTCAGGTTAATCATCAACCCAGATACTGGAAAATCCCGTTCCCTGCCCCTCCCAGGGCCCCGTTACGGAAACCGAAAGCCCCGTTCCCTCCTGCGGGACCCCGCGCTCCAACGCCGTAGGGTCAGTTCCGTAACCAAACCGCGCTCTCCGTAGTCACACCGTAAGGTGTTTACCGCGGCACCGATCAGATCAGTTTACTACTTTCCAAGCAAGTCATGCCTTTAAAACCAGAATTATTTTGATCGACACGCTCGTGGGGATAAATATTTCCCGGGGGATACCGGCAGGGAGCGAGGAAGAGCCCCGGGGGCATAACGTGGACCCGCACACGCCAGCAGGTCTCCAGAGCTGCAGGGTTCGGATGCTCTGGTTTCACCCCGAAGCGGGGACCCCCGTCTCCCGCCCCCATCGTTGCGATCCCCCGGGCAGGTCGGGCAGCACGAACACGACACCCAGCGAGCAAACGCACAGAGATCACGCTAAATGGTGTGGCAAAGCCTCCGTCCCCGGGGCAGCGCCCTCCGAGGCGATGCTGCAGCTCCCACCCCCAAAAAAGGATGCTGAGGGAGTCTGGGAGTACCGGCGCCACAACGCAGCGGGCGAGGGGCTCCGTCGGGCGAACGGCACCTTGTCTACAGGGATGGAGATGGAAACCCAGCCCGACTCCAAACCAGCTCGACTGGTCGGGGTGGTGGGAGAGGAAAGCCAGCCCGGAGCAAGCCGCAAACACCCTCCCAAACAAAAGCTTGCAACAGCGGGCAGAGGACGGGGACGGGGTTAGCGAGACCCGCACATCGGGGACCTCGAGATGCAACGAAGTCTCGAGGCAGCGGATAAGTCAGATGGCAGCAGGGACGAGACCCCAAGCCCTAGATTTTTCTTTCTTATTTAAACAGGCTGCTAAAAATACCACCCCGGGAGCCCGGCGAAGTAGGGCAGCTCCACGCGTTAAAGTTTCAGGAGGCGCTGCGTTACGGTCCACGCGTTAAAGTTCCAGGAGGCGCTGCGTTACGGAGGGGCAGGGCCCCAGCCTGCAGCAGCCGCAATCGCTTCCGCACCGGTGTGAAATTTCCTGCCAACCCGCCGGGTCCAAAAGGCTTTTCCCCCCCTCCGGGGTGTAACGCGCCCTCCTGCAACTCAGGGCTCCGGGTGAGACAAGGCAGGGGTTGATGAACTCCGTCCTAACGAGGAGGAGCAGCAACGGCGGCGGCCGTTGCCCAGCGCCCCTATAGAGGGATGCTATAGGGTCCCTGTATGGGATCTCTCCTCAAAGGACAAGAGCACCTGCGGACACAACTTCCATAGGGGAACGCAGATCCCTTATGGAATAAGGGGGCAGGTAAAGGCAGCTCCCGCAGGGGCTATAGGGGACAGCAGATCCCCTATAGATGGAGGGGAGCCGGTAGAACAGGGACAACCCAGGTCCCCCACCGGGGGAGCAGCCTGGCGGCTCCCTATAGGATCTGCTATAGGGCAGGTCACACCCTGGGGAGAAGAACCCCTATGGGGACTGCTATAGGGTGGAGCACGCACCAAGGACAAGGACCCCCACAGAGCCAGCCCCTATAGGATCTTCTATATGGCATGGTTCACCCCACAAAGGAAAGCCCCTACAGGCCCAGCCCCTATAGGCTCCACCGTAGGGCAGGGCGTGCCCCAGGAAGGGCAGCCCCGACGGCCCCAACTCCTATAGGCTCTGCCATAGGGCAGGGCACACTCCAGAAAGGACAACGCCTACAGTCCCAGCCCCTATTGGCTTTGCCATGGGGCAGGGCACACACCGGACATAACAGCCCCTACAGCGCCAGCCCCTATATGCTCTGCCATAGGGCAGGGCACACCCCGGGAAGGTCAACACCTATAGCGCCAGCCCCTATATGCTCTGCCATAGGGCAGGGCACACCCCGGGAAGGTCAACACCTATAGCGCCAGCCCCTATATGCTCTGCCATAGGGCAGGGCACACCCCGGGAAGGTCAACACCTACAGACCCGGCCCCGGCAGGCGC